AATTCTACTTACATAAAACACAGGTTAAACATAACTTCCATAAAACTTATCAATCCTTACAAATATTCCTTAAGGAACTCTGGACAAATATAATTCTACTTACATGAAAACACAGGTTAAAACATAACTTCCATAAAACTTATCAATCCTTACAAATATTCCTCAAGGAACTCTGGACAAATATAATTCTACTTACATAAAAACACAGGTTAAAACATAACTTCCATAAAACTTATCAATCCTCACATTCCTAAAATCTTTGATAATTGTGAAAGGTATACATTAAATTTTTTTTTAGAGTTTCAGTTGTTTTATTCTTTAACTCGTATGCCAAAAAGTCTTTTATCAAGTTTACAAACATCTGTCTTCCTCTGAATGCTGTATCTTATGCTTTCTTGTTCTCTAGCAACTGTTTCTTGAAATAATAAATTAACTCACCTTCGATCAAGTCGAACTGGTTTTTGTCCTGACCCATGCTTTTGGCTTTTTCCTTGTATCGGGATCTGACCAGAATCTCCAACCAAAAGTCTTTGGTTATTGGAATCACTAAAAAAAAAAAAAAGAGAAATACATTTTAAGACCACAAGATTAAGACATCCAAATTTCTAAAAATTTAATACTGGTTTAAAATGTGAAATTTTTAGTTTATTCTTTTGCGACCACAGCTCTGAAAACTTGTTTAGAAGCTATTGTCTCGACATGTTACAACCCTAAAAACCAAAAATTACTCACAGAACAAAACGCTATTGTTTACTACTCTTCATTTTTTATTTCTTAACTATAACAGAAAGTAATATTAATTCATGGACTATATCAATTATTGAAAAGAGAACTTCTTATTTTCTGTGATACTGCTTAACCCTTTCACTGCTCTGCACATCATATGATGTTTTAGGTTTTCCCATCACTGTTTGAAATCCCAGGTGACATTTGGTTGTACCAGTGACCCACAGATGTCACTCCCAATATCTTACATAGTGGGAAAAAATGTATATAGTGTAATATTTGTACAATATAGTTGTGTTATTCATGACCAATGCCATGCCAATGTGTGAGATAAGTGTAATACAACATTTGATAAAAAACAAATAAATCCAGCTTGCCCTCACGGTCAGTGAGGGTTGCTCCAGACCTGTCCAATCCCTCCTCACTGAACACACCACCAGACCTACATAGGGGTCATTACATGATTTCTTGGTGTTTATTTTTTACTTTTGCATGCTATACTGTGATTTCATGTAAGGTAAAATCTTATATATTTTTTATTTTGCACATGGGGTGGGAGCAGTTTCCACCCAACTAAGCAGTGTGAAAAGCAGACAGCGGTAAATAAAACGAGCTGTGATTGTATTTTCAGTTGTTTATCAGACTGAAGTGCTTATTATAACATGTTTTATTGCAAATGGTTATTTTTTAAAATGGCTAAAGGAAAGAGGAAATTTATGTGCCACACCTCCAGTTGACTTGCAACTCACTAGTTGGTAAACAGTCTTAAATATTACTCCTACTTCTTAAACATATGGATAATATTCAACAAATAGTTTAACTAATAAGATGCAGATTACAGGACTGATACAATCACCAATACATTCTTGTTTAATTATCTCCATGTGCTTTCCTTTGAAACTAACCTGACAAAACTGAAATTGAGATATTTGAACTTAGACTTACACAATGATGTAATTAACATTTGATTTCTTCAGCTGGGATAGAGAACTACGAACAGAATTGGTATCTGACATCAGCAACAATGGAGGATGCTTACGATAGGTAACCAAGGTGTCACCATCTTCACTTGTCTTTTTCATGGTTGGTGTCTCTTCTGGCTGTTCTACAGCAAACTGTCTCATGAAACTTTCCCGAACCTAAAAATTTTATTCTGTTATACACATCTTTCCTTCAGATCGATAAGCCATTTAAATAAGAGGCTACTAATTATCAATTTTCAATATACAATATATATGATGTGTTGAAATGGTTCAAAACCTAGGGTTTGCATATGTAAGGGGGTTATGCAAGAGTCTTTGAAAAACATTCAAAAGAAAATAAATCCCATGCCTCAAAATTGAAAGGTAAGTCTCAGTGAGTTACCAACGTATTCCATTAGCCAGTTTTCAAATTTCACATACTGTTGACTCAGCCTTCAATGATTCTTTTAATTTACCTTTGTATTAATTTAACCATTAATAGTTTCATTTTGAGTTTACTTACTGATTTAGTATATTTTATTACATGTTACAGCTTTTACAGTAAGTTTGTTTTTAGAGCAGTTATGACAATTTGATCACTCATGCAATCATTCTCAAGTACACGAGTTTTAATTGTTAAATACTAAAACATTCTTTACCGTTAAAACTTGTGTACTGGAGAATGATTGCGCGAGTGAACAAAACATTGTACATGTACTAAAAACAATCTTATTTACTGTAAAAGCTACGACTTGTAATAAAATAATTTAATGATTGTTGATTTTTTAAAGAAATTATGTGCATCAGGGATACACCACTGTCTCAAAGGTCTAGTTGGGGGTACATGATATAAAAATGTTGGAAACTACTGACATAGTGTTCAAAATAATGTCACAAAAAGTGCTCAAATGTATGCTTTGTACTCTAGACTTAAAAAAATAAGCATTTCAAAAAACAAACATCCCACATACACTGATATAAAAAAATTTTCACAAAAGATGTATATATATCAAGCTCACATAATACTTTTTAAGCTAACAACAAATTACATACAAGTCAAGAATTTGAAAAAATGTATAAATTTTCTTTTTAACAGAATATGAAACAATGCATTTATAGATTTACTTTGAAATTCTGAACATCAAAATTACTTGCTTTGGGAATGTTGAACTCTGAAGGGGTTTTATGCAGCCTTGTCATCTGTGGACTGTCAGGAAATTTCTCAAACATACGAAGTCGTAACGGAAGACCTTCCTTAATGCCGGCACTTTCTTCTCTAGCTTTCAACTGAGAAATAAGTATTATATAATGTAAACACCTTTTACCTCTACAAGGATTCACAAAACGACTTTAGATCACAAATATATTTATATAATCTTTAAATAACTTCCTACTTGTAATCTTTACATGTCGTCTTACAACATTTAAGATATCACCAACCCTTTGGTTCCAGGTCCTTACATTATGAGGAAAAAATGTAACTCTCAGAATATTTTGTTCCAAAAATAAAACTAGTGGATGAAATTGATTGAAATTTGACAGGATCTTTCCTAAAGGTAGGTAGTTTCAGAAAACTATTTAATTTTAATTTTTTCTACTACTAATTTTACTAAAACTTTGTTATTTATTGTAGTTATTTAGGAACTTTCCTAAAGGTATGTAGTTTCAGAAAAATATTTAATTTTAATTTTTTCTACCACTAATTTTACTAAAACTTTGTTATTTATTGTAGTTATTTAGGAACTTTCCTAAAGGTAAGTAGTTTCAAAAAATATTTAATTTTAATTTTTTCTACTATTAATTTTACTAAAACTTTGTTATTTATTGTAGTTATTTGCACTCTGACTCTGAATAGTTCAAGTGCAAGGCGGATTTTCATGTTAAGTATAAAAATAACTTTTTTTTTATCTTGCAGTTTTCAAATGTCATTTGCATAACCTCTAAAACCTCCTAAATGAACATCAAAGGTTTTTTTTAAAGTAAATGTTTGTATTTTACCATTTATTATTCATCTCAACACACACACATCAATGGGTGCGCATGGTATCAAGAGTGGAGACACTTTGGTCTCTGGCAAAATGTTTTTTTTTTTGCTCTCTCTTAGTAATGTAAGCCTCATGGAGTGAAGCAAAGTTTGGGTTATATTGATAAATTATTAAACCTATCAAATACGAACTTTAAAACATAAAAAGTACAAAATTAACTAAAATCTGAAAGTAAAACCTAAATACAATTTAACTGTCTATCAAACTAATATGTATGAAGGAGAGAAAAAATACTAAGTGCTAGCGAGGACAAAACTACAACAACGTTAAAGAGCAGTTTGATGCACTTGTTAATGAATAATGGGTGCCAGTTTTAAAATAACCATTCAGAGATTGTAGTTTAAAATTAGCTCTTTCTATTGGTTATAAACATGTACATCAAATAAATAGACGTGGCGTGTAATTCTCATTTCTAGCATAGAAGGTGGGCAAGACTACTGTCAGGGAGTAAGAATATTTATTTCTTTGTTCTCTGAATTAACCCATGGAAGTTTGAAACAAGTGATGGGTAAATAGTCCTGTACGCATACACATAAACCACACATAGAGTATGATTCAAGTACTAGAAACCAAATGTTAAGTTTTTGAATACTTGTGTATGTTATGACAAGAACGGAAGTGTAAGTATTTTTAAAGGTTTTTTTAAACAAAGGAATTAAAACTTAGAGAATATAAATAAATATTTGAATTATAACACACATGATAATGCTAATTTCATTAAAATACATTGATAGAAAAGTGGTTTAATTAAATTTTAAAGTAACTCAGTAAAACCTTGTAACATGCTCAGAAAGGAGTTTAAAGAATACATGGTAGTTCAAGGGTTAAGCATACATCGTCCAGTTATAAGCAATAATGACACTTTCTAACATAATGACATTGCTTAAGAGTAAAAGTAAATAAACCATCGCTTAACCCATTGACTGCTGATTTACCGTATAGGGGTACGGTCCGCCTCAAGCAGTTGAATGTAAGTGTGTTGTATACAGTGTTCAGCTCACATAAATTCCATGTGAATTTAAAGCAACCGCAATCAGAGTTAAATCACAGTCTGTACAACCTCACATATTTCTTGCAAGAAGCTTTGTTTACAATGCAAATGCTTTCTTTTGATGAAGGCAATACTATCATCACTATAATATTAAAAAATATATACTTATAATAACTTTTGTGTATAAACTGACATTTGTTCTGTTTCCCACTCACATCCACTTATGATGTAACTGTGCCTTTTTCAGAACTAACATGACTCAAACTTCAATGAAATCTTCAGAGTATTTTTTTCTGTTTATTAATTAAACGCAAAAGTTTGTATTATCATTGCAAATAAAATTTCTGTCATGGTAAAAAACTAATTTTAATAAGATTATATAAAATGTTGAATGGTTGTACTCAAATTCTTAATGAAAGATACATTTATAGAAGTTTCAAGTAAATGTTTAATTCTACATCTCAAAAGGAGAAAAATTTAAAATAGTACTTACAGTATGGAGTTTGAAAAACTGAAGAGGCTTTGTCAGTCAATAAAACAAAAATAAGACAAAACAAAACATAAAATTAAACAGACATAAAACTAATCCATAACAAGCACATCAAATAAATATAACAGAAAACAGAAACGGAAAAAGGAAAAGACAAAAGGAAAGTGAAAGCCAAGTTTTAAATCTTGTTAAAGAACACTTCATATGACTATATATATATAAAATAAAGAGAAATTAAACATAAAAAGCTGTGTTATCGATTTTAAAAAGTATTTTATCAAGATTATTCCACCATGTTATGCATATGTCCAGCTGTGGTGTATTTACATAGTTAGTATATTTATAAACAAAAGTAAGTAAGAAAATAACAAATAATAAAAAAAATAAATGTAAGCATAAAAAAAGGAGAAACAACTATAAACATAATAAATAAATCAGCAGTTCTAAATCATAAAAATTGGGAACTATCACATTTAATCTGTAAATGGAAACAGCAAATTTTAAGTCTCGGAGCTACTTTTTTTACAAACTATAAATTAATTTCAATGACTAAAAGTTAATATAGTAATTAAAACTTACATTATATCTTTAGCAAAAAAAACAACAAATGTCACTAAATTTTCTATACTCCTCACACTATAATTCTATCATTTTGGGAGGATTAAAAACAATTAGCAAACTGCAACTATCCAAAAAAGTACACTTTCAGATTTTCGTTACATATCATTGGATTATTTTCTCGTGAATGTATTCTCTTATATCTCATACTTGTTTTAGTTTTTTGATATCTTCATCCAACTCCAAATTGTCCAGAATGACTGCCACAAACAAGCTGAGCACAATCTATACGTAACGAAAGAAAATATTGTTAAAGTTCAATGTCGTGCTCTAACATACTACATGTGTTTATTAGCTGAGTCATATCGAATACCTTTGCTGATGGTCATAAAAATCTTTACCATGATACATACGTGTACAGTTGTATCTATGTTTTTTTTATAAACTCCTACAAAGCTGTGAGGGTTTTCAAAAATTAAAGCAGATTTGAATAAATTTCATTATTTATATACAGCCACTGAATGCATTAATAATCTAGTTAACGTACACAATAAACAGTAAAGTTCAAACTTTCTGATATTGTAATATCAGAACAGTACAAACTTAAAAGGTTATAATAAGTAAATTCATGATTAATTAAAATTTATCTTAGGACATGAAAATTTGTTAAGTTGCTTCCCTTATAGGTAATTGTAAAAAATGCAAAAATGCCCATAAAAACTGCAAAACACAAAACTGAAATTTTGTATGTATCTCCCCATACACCAAACAAACCTTTATGTGAAATTTTGTGAAGATCCATCTACAGGGGGCAAAGTACTGGTAAAAACCCAAAATGAAAAACTGAAAATCTGAATGTACCCTCGCATGGAACTAATGAACCTCCATACCAATTTTGGTGAAGATCCATCCTCACCCTGCTAAAGTAGTTACATGGCATACAACAGACCATACTATTATATTTATACAGATATATTGTAAGACTTCAGGTCAGGAGCTAAACAACTACACTACTCAGACTGGTTCTAGTTCTAACAGTTCTCAAACACGTTAACTTGCCATGAACACATGGGGAAAGTAATAATTATTTTGTTTAGAAATGTTGGAAATATTTCATCTATAAATTTCTTTGCTTTCCTTAAGTCAATAAAAAGTCAAAGTAAGTTTTAGCTTTCAACCAGAGCACAATTGGTATTAACCACATAAAATTTCTAGTCTACAAAAACACATATATTAATGACTGACATATTATAAAATAAAAATTATCATGTTTAAAACTTGATATTCAGTGGTTAAAAAATATGTAATATATATGAACAGTTTTACTCAAGATGTGAATAGCACAATTCCTACGACAAGGTAAAAGGAATACCTCTTTATGAGACCAGTTATCAGCTTTCTAAGTTCACTGACTAAGTCACTAAATCTCTAGTGTTTATTTAACATCTTACCAATGTGACAAAAAGGTGATATAAGATGAAATATATAGCCACAAGCGGCCCTATTGTTTGGCTTGTTCGCAACATTGTTTCATTCATCACGTCTACCCATCCTTCCTGAGTGAGTATCTGGAACATTGACATGAAGGCCTGGAAAGATATGAAAATTTACTTAGTAATCAACAACTTCACAAAAAAAAAGACATAATTTTTTTCAATAACAACTGATGGCAAAAAGTAATGTATTATGATATTGACAAATACAGTATCAAAATAAAACATTAGAAAGTTTCCAGTCCAACAGGGCGCAATAAAATAAGGGTGACATCTATCTATAAACTTGTGTAGTAACATTTATAACTTTACAAGTATGTCATTGAAGTGTGATGAAAAAATATTTTTGATGAGCAACTATTAACTTGACAAGTACAACATTAAAATTAATATGGACGTTTTTAAGATAACAAGTAGGTCTATATGGTATTCATGTGGTTGTATTAAGACACATTGGTAACATGATAAATGAATAAACATCGTGAAATTACTGTCAATGGTCAGCCTTTTTTACAGAAACATTTAATTTCTTGACTTTTTTTCATCTGGTTTAACATCAATTCTGGAATCACTTAGAAAAAAAACACTCCCAAGAAAAGAAGCTTAAAAACGTTTCAAGAAAATGAAAGCCTACTGTAATTTTTTTCCTTATTTGCAAGTAATAATTTAAAGAACCAAACATTTCCTGTAAATATTATAACTACATCACATAGCAAAAATAATAATAAATTACTCATCTAATATAACTGCCTCCTTCCCCCTTCTTTTACAAATGGCACTGATCTGAGATGTATTTGACATATATATATCCACAATTTACCCATGTCTGCTAATATTTATTCCAGATCAGTGTTAACTCTTCCAGAGCATGTTATTTCCATGTCTTGTGACATTTACTCCAGATTAGAACTAAATCATCCAAAATTGTCCATGTTTGGTCAAGATACAGCTACATTTATTATACAGCTGAAGGATACCTTCTAAATTGAGCCATAGCTTACCCAGATCTGATAATATTGATTCAATATCTGTCCTTATCTACTTCTCAGGCAAACCTGACCACTTTTATGCACTGATGGTTTCAGATCTGTATGCATCCTGCTCATATCTGATTACTGCCAGATCTGGATCAATTCATGTCTAATTTCTTATATAAGACAAACCTTATGCTCTACTTCTGAATCAGTTCTGGTTTTTTTTTGTTTTATTTGCTGCATAGTTCAGATATATACGAATGAACATTTATACCCGCTGACTGCGAAATTTCGGATTTACCCCACGGCTACCAAAAAATGCAGGAATATCCCCCTGTACTTGAAACAATCGCCAAACCTGCATGCGTGATGCCATCTGTGTTCTACGCCGTGAAACTTGGATGTTTATATGCTTCATTACAAAATTGCCAACTTTGCAGGAACACATATATAATCTATATACAGACAGCTTCTTTATACCTTGGATATTGTTATCTAAATAATTTGTTTAATATTTTGTAACGATTTTGGCCTCTTATTGACTTAGTTTTACTTATATTTATGTCATCTACTGGAGAACACTTTTCTTCTCAATTTGTTTGTTTAAATCATTAATTTTCATCATCCAACATGGTTTTCAAGGAATATTACTGTCAGATATAGAAAATATATCTTTTTTTAATATTGAAAAAGTAATAAAAAGGGTCATTGTTTGTTTTTTGAATTTTCGCGTAAAGCTACACGAGGGCTATCTGTGCTAGCCGTCCCTAATTTAGCAGTGTAAGACTAGAGGGAAGGCAGCTAGTCATCACCACCCACCACCAACTCTTGGGCTACTCTTTTACCAACGTATAGTGGGATTGACCATCACATTATAACACCCCCACGGCTCAAAGGGCGAGCATGTTTGGTGTGACGGGGATTCGAACCCGCGACCCGCAGATTGCGAGTCGACCACCCTAACCACCTGGCCAAAAAGGGTCATATTCATACTTTTATTTTTTGGTGGATAACTGACACTTTTTGGGAATCAGCCTAAAAATTAATTGTTAAAGGCCATTTTAATTTATTAAGACAATGTATCTTTATAATATTGTGCCAAAGGTTAACCACAATTTTTAAATCAATTCTTACTATCTCCTTTGATCACATTGACTAAAGTAGTATACTTATGTGAAATATTCGTACTTTTCTTATTTAACACTCTTCTTCGAGAAAATAATCACATTAAATATAATTTTCTATATTCTGTTAATAAATGTTTTATAATTTTGAATAAAGATAAGGGACACTTTATTAAGTCACACTGCTGATTTAATATATATATGCAGATAAATATTTAAGCCATTATGGATACCAAATTAAGTTTTACATAAAATATTATCAGGCTTACAAGAGAGAGAAATAACACCTAATATTGCCAAAAGGTTTATTTTTTATTCCGTCGAAGATAGCTCATGACTGAAGAGGATTACATACACTTATTTCATGTTCATAAGCTTAGAAATAAGTTATGCATTTTTTAATATGAATTTTCAATGGTTAGTCCTAATTAGGCTATTTTGTCTTTAAACCACTTTAAAAATTACAAGTGATGTGAAACAAGTACTGAAAAGTAAAAAAAACAAACCAAAACCTATACCAATATCAAAATATTATCATAATACAAAGGACAAACACTACAATTACCAGTAAAACATAAAATATATATATATAAGACACATAAGGTACAATGACAAGCTACAACAAAAAAAAAACAACAATGGCAGGTATTTTATTACATAATATGGCTAATCAATTTTCCCAGTTTTAACAGTTTATGGTATGGCCGAAAAAAAAATACACTCACTTCGGGAAAAGCTTCAAATTTATGGAAGTTGAACTCGGCCAAACAACAGAAGAGCTGCATACTTATGCTGGAAGTGATGATCAGTAAGCACATGGTAAAGATAATTAGACTTCCTAGTTTCTTTCCAGGACCAAATATCTATTGATAGTTTAACAGAATCATCTTTAAAAATAAAACTTTAACTGGTCAAAATACTTCAGAATACTTCAAAATCTGAGAGTACAAATAATTAAAAATTAATGATTAATACAACAATTAAATTATGCGTTACTAACATCATATTCTATCCACATTTCATTCAAATTCGGCTGATGTTACTTTTATGCTGTTTATTTTTATTAACTATGTCATTTCTTTGTGCTTTTAAATATGTTCTTCTGCTTAAAGAGCAACGGTACACAACTGACAATTTAACGTTAGGTGCCAATGATCTATCAAAATGTACTTGTATTCTTAAGGCCTCAAGAAACTTTAAAATTAATGAATGGGTGATTAACCTCTTCTGTGTTGGTTTTTTTCTTATTTTTTGGAAATTAGATAAAAAAAATGAACGGCAGATTTTTTTGTGTGTGTGTGTGTGTGCTTTTTGATAGCTTATCATCATATACGATAACATGATAAACTTGGGCAAATAATTAAAGTTATGGGGAGAAACGATATGCCCGAATTAACTCGGGTAAATATATTTTTTAAACATAGGGTTATTTTAGTCAAATTATGAAAGAAGTTAACAACTTTTAGAAATAATAGGTAGGCAAAGAATGACTTATAAGCATAAGATATTTCACTAAACTGTGATAATGGCCCCCAGCAACATCAGCCATATTTGGCAAGGTCTATTCACACACTTGACCTCTATCTATATCCTGTCTGCTGCTGACACTATTTCCATCACATTTAATTCCTACTGTCTTTGTAACAATATATAAACCTTGGATTGCTTAGTACTGGTCATACCTGAAAAAGACAGACCAATGTTCTATCGAAACATATAGTATGTTCCACCATCTATAAAACTTTTTATTTTGCTTATAAATCATTATTTGTCTACCTATTATTATATTAGCAAGTTTTTCAAATATAAGAAACCCTTAAGCATACATAAGTGGTAATTAAACAAACTACATCACCAGCTATGTCACTTCACCAATACTTTTTTAAGTGATGACTAAATCACTAGATTTAAACATTCTCTTGATAAGTTTTCAATTTTCTATTTCGACCATTATCTTGTCAACTGATCATCCAATAAAGAACAGCTGTTGACTTTTTATAGTCAAGAATATTAAGAACTATGATAATAAATGTTTCAAAAGAAGCAAGAAACACAAGTCATTGGAGATTAAAGTGCATATTCAAAAACGTAAAATCTGTTGATTTAACTGACGAATAAGGAACAAAAACTACAATTAACTAGGTAATAAAATAATATGATATCAAATTTAAAAGACTTCCTATGGACCTTCTGGAATTCAAAAATCAGTAGAAAAAGATAAGTGTCATAGGAAAAAATAATTATGAATTAGGCTTAGCAATAAAATATTTTATGAATATCTCAATTTCATGCCTGTATCAAACACTTAGCAGTTGGTTCAGAATAACATGGGAAGGTACAAGTAATTTAATTAAAGACTCAGGAGAAATGACAGTTACATACGGAAAGTAGAAAAACTGCTAAGAACTGGATTGTGAAATTATTTTTGCCTACAATTTTGATTTATAACTTTATAAATATATTTATCTAATTGCAAATCTCTTGTGATTTATTAATATTAGGATTTCTTCTGCTTCCTGTAGTTTTTAATATATTAAAAAGTATATAAATTCAATTATATGGCACAGAAAGTGTTAGGTTTGGCTGAATAGGCTCTTATAAAAAAAAAAGGGGGGGATAAAAAAAAAAGATTAATCAATTGTTTTAATAAAAATTCAGCTAATTATATTGTAGAAATGCACTATATTAAATATAATTTATTTCAGGATTAAGTTCTAAATTTAACTGAAATCAAATCACATTCCACAGCTTACTTGCCTTATGTGTATGAATGCTCATTTACTCAATTATAGTGTTCGGCTGACTTGATTAGAACACTGAAGAAGGGGCTGCAAGTCTGTCAGTTTTGAACACAGTAAAGACATATTTACGTGTGTGTGTGTGTTTAAAAACTTCTTTTCTAGTAAAATATTCTAAACAAATAAATAAGTAATATAATTAAACCAGTGGTTCCCAACCACCGATAAATGGACTAGTGCCATTGCTATGGGGATATTTCAGCCGGTCCACAAGACAGTTTAAAAAATTGGGTTGTTTTTAAAATATAGCTACTGAAACATTTTCTTTTACAGTGTTACTTAAAAGTACTTTTAAAAAGTAATATTGTACAAAGCAGCTTGTAAAATTTAGGGATCGGAACTAGCAGGTCATCAGTTGGAAAAAGGTTGGGAACTACCGCATTAAAATACCATAGATATATATATAAACAATGAGGCCCTAAAATAATTTTAGGCAATATTTCTGTCTGTTGAAAAAGAACCTGTAAAACTAGTTATTCAGGTCTTTACCTTGTATACAAAATCTTCCAACATTGGAGATGCTTTAATCAGTCGAACTATTCTCAACACCTAGGTAAACCAAAGAATACATGCATAAATATATTATTATTATTACAGACCACTCAATATCCCGGGAAATGAAAAAATCTGAAACTATCACCAGCTAGTTGCATACTAGTTTCACAACATATAAGCTTGCATCAGTTTCGCTAGAAAGAAACTTTCTGAGCTCACATAAGCTTAAAATGTTTTTAACATTAGTATACAACACCAATTCGAATACAACTTACAACTGCAGTTCTAAGCTGATTGTAATATAGTGTTGATATCTAATATGAGCTCTAATATGTTTCAAATTACAGTCTATAAAGCTAAAAAAGAATCTTAAAACGTTGCAGCTAGAGTTAGCTAAAAAATTAGGTAGAGTGAAACTTTTTTTTTGCTTAGCAATGAAAGATAATACAAGGGAGTATATATAAAAAAAGCAAAGCTGTGAACAAGGTACATAAAAATACAAACACAGAAAGAGACCCCACTTGAATAGCTAATATACTGATCAATGACTTCAAGAGAGAGTGACCTTATATACACAGGAAGAACTGAACTTTAAATGCCTTTTTTTTGCAGCTAATGAATTTAAACTTTAATTTGTTTCAGCTACTGTTTCACTGTTAATGTATGGAGAATACACTTCACTAGATTGTATATAGTATATCTGTGAAACTGGATCATAAAAATTATAATCAAGTGGACATGCACTAACTCATTACATTACAGTTCGGCTCACAAACACCTTTGATTTCATAAAGTAAAATACGTTATTTGTACAAAGTATGAGATTTTAATACTAATCACAGCTTACTTTTACCATACAATCTGCCAGATTATCAAAAAAGTCTGAAATTTTGTTTCCTCTTCAAGATTTTCATTATGTAGTACAAAACATAAATGAACTATAATCCTATAAAACAAATAATAACATCTATAAATGCTTACCATTTCATAAAAATATTTAGCCCTTAGTGATATAAAGTCTTGGAAGAAAAACAAATCTTAGCTTAAGAGACTTCAAACATTAATTCACACTTTCTCAAAACATTTTTAGATCATAATATATATGTGTGTGTTAAGAAGGATACGACTGAGATGCAGAATTTAAGTGAAATTATAATACATTTCAAAAACAGACAAGTAATAATAAAATTATGATGTATTTCAAAGATAAACAATTAATGAAAAAACTTTCACTTCAAGCACTGTCAGCTTGAACTATAGTCATTTTTAAAAAAGTTCCCATGAACGAACAGATAACGTGACACTTTTTTAAAAGAAAAATGATCGGTTTTTTGCAACTTGAATGAAAATATCCTGGATTAAGAACATTTATATAATAGTGTAAATATTATAAGCTTGTGAAAATGTTTTTTCCAGAATTTTGTTTAGTTAAACAAGTGTACACTTGATTTCTGCCAGCTTTTATTAGAAAAAAAAACAAATTTTATTTTCAGTACAATGGATCTTATAGTGGTTTCAAATGCTCTCACGCTGAAAATATCTAAAAATAAATTCACACGTACTACAACTATTGTAGTCTTATGCAGTAAATAATAAAATAGATTTTTATCACCAATTTTACCTGAAAGTAAGCAAGTTCTGACATAAAAAGGCTTGGCATAATATGTAGAGTTGTACCAATAGCAAGAAGAAACTCAAACTTGTGCAGTGAACGACGGTAGTAGCCCTGAAAACCCAAGCACCAAATCTTGAAAAGAACTTCTAGATCAAAGAAAATTGTGAATCCAACCTAAAAAAGAAACAAAAAAAAAATCACTGCAAAATTTTCATCTTCATAGGTTCTCATAAGTGACTTATTTAACCAAGACTATTATGTATTAAAACTTAAGTATACCAATAAATGTACTACATCAAAGTAGTTTTGTTATTGTCAATTATTATTAACTTGATTATATCAAATTGCACGTAGAATGGTATAAAAGGGAAACCAAACTTGAAGCAAGTGCTTGTTAGATTAGACCATAAAACTTAGTGAGAACAAGGGACCTATTTGTAAGCAGTCTCATCCACTAAACTATTTAATAAAATTAAAGCCAACCGCTAGTCTCAAATATTTATCTAGGCTTCCTTTAAACTCCTTCAAATTTAGTGCTTCCATCACAAATGAAGGCAATATATTCCAAAAGCCAACTATCTTATCCAAAGATCATTTCTACCTTGCCCAAATATACGTATGTGTCACTTATTCCTACCAAAAAAAAAAAAAAAGAAGGATGCACTGACCATATCAATTTAGTTGACAACCTTAAATACGATAATTAGATCCCTTCTAATTCTTCTTTTCTCATGATAGCACGATTTCAGAAATCTTAAACTGTTCTTGTGTGACCTTTCTATCCCAGGTATTATCCTAGTAGCCCTCCTCTGAACCCTTTTGAACAATTCAATGTTCTTCCTAAGGATTGAACACAATACACCAAATGTGGTCTAACCAATAACCTATTCAATGAAATTATAATCTTTTTAGACTTGTATTCAATATTTCTGTTTACACAACCAAAAATCTTATTTGCTCTGCCTCAAGAAACAGCACATTGCTTGCATGACTTAACTCTTTTGAACCCAGGCTCGGTCCTGGGACTGACCTCGTAACCATTTTGTGCTTGTTGTAGTTTTCATGCTATAACTTTTAAATTAGTAAGCGAATGTTAACGAAATTTGGCAGTTTATCAGTAAAAATTACAATGCTTTCATACAAAATATATCTAATTTTTTATTAAGTCTCAAGGTTTGTAAAGCAATGTTTCTCTCATGCCTTTTTTTTCTTTCACATTTTGCCTATCTATCATGCAAAGT